AAACGGCTGAGGGGCTAAGCCTGCAGGATCTCATACTCAACTGGATGGCATTTCTGAGATTGAAAACAAGTATTTAAATGCTGTAGGCTGTACCATGCTGTCAGGAAATGCTGTAGGCAGTACCAAGAAATTGCTTTAAAAATCAGAAGGGGAAAAATGCAGAGAGAAGAGTTATCACAATCTCTGATTTTGGAAGAGGTAGCAAACTAAACTTTCATCGCTGGCAGCAGATCTTTGCAAGAATTGCTCCTGGAAGGTAGCAGTTGACGTGTTCCAAGCTTGTATCGCTCCTTTGCACTGGAATAGCTGATACACTGAAAAACAGAGATAGGCACGGTGTAGGGAGGACAGTAGAATGCAGAGACTGCCACTGGGGAGCAGAGTTTGGGGAGGGGGCGTGAAGTAGGGGGAACGAAGTGCCCACAGTTCTTTTAATGAGGACAACAAAACAATTGGCAATGGGAGCAGCAGAGCATATGAGGGCACTGAGATTCCCAAGGCATGTGTAAAATGCTCTACAGAGCATATTTGTATTACCCAGATAAGTCCCTGATTTTCCCAAACTAGGGTGGGGACTAAAGGGCCCTATTTGTCAGAACAAAGAAACTGTAATCCGTATTTTGAGTGGGATGTCTTTAACAGCTTCGCTATTAGAGAAATTGTTCTGTTTTCAATCACAGTAAGAAGGCTGGGCAGACTGCCTCCTTATCTTCAAGGAAGTCAAAACCAGAGCATAGAAACAAGTGGTTTTGTTCAAGTGTAGAAGTAAACAATCTGTTTGAGCTGGAGGCTGCAGTTCCATGAGACAACATGCTAGCATCCCGCTACCTTTGAAAAAGCAAGGTTTTGATCTTTGCAGTATGCTTCCACCACTCACCTTACAAAAGCTGGAGAGCTTACTGATCTCAGTATGTTCAGAGTAAACTGAAGACTATTCAAATTACTGTCTTTGTAGAAAAACAAACCATGAGCCCAAAACAAGGTGTAGCTTTTCACCAGCAATTAATTCATCTTTGGAATAAGCCCAGTAAGCACTAGAGGAAAGCAAGAGCTAGGGCTGCACAGTGGAGGGCAGAAAGAGGTAGAGCCAGGCATCCTTTGACTTGTTACAAGCTATTAGGTGGTTATGAAACCACACCTGGAGAAAATGCTTGAGACGCGAGTATGGAAATGAAGTGTGAGTTACTTCTGGGAAGCTACTGTTGGTAAGGAGGGAAGAACGGTGTTGGAGTAAAATTGTAGCCAAATGTAGTGGAGGGGGGCCAGCAGTTCTTCCTCTCAAAGCATAGCCATCCTGAGAATCTGGTAATGTCGTTATAAAATAAGAGGGTTGCAGCAGTGGTTTACGTGTGGAAGCAAGATAATTTTTGAGGAAAGATCATCTAAATTCATCCAGTACTGGTTACATTACATCAGATGACACTTCAAGTAAGCTTAAAGATAGGTGATGTAGAACTGTTGCTGTAGGAATAGTGGGGTATTTCTTCATTATCTGTTCAGTGTATAAGTTGAAAAGCCTTCCCAGTCCTGAAGGGTTAACAGAAAGTGAAGATCATATGGGACCCAAATGCTAATTTTACAAGAGTGACTCTACTATGTAAAGGGATGCATTTCATCTATGCATTTCAAAAGGAAGTATCTCGATGTTTTATTGACATTTTAAGTGCATCTGCAGATGGAAAGTAAAGTTACTGCTGTAGAACATTTATCCTTGCATTCTCTGGAATTACTTGTGTACCTGGGCTCCTAAATCTAAACTAATAATTACAGACATGTTAAAGAGAGTAGTTACATATTTTCTTTTACAGGCTTATGAAGGCTATTCCAAGTGTCACCTAGATCATAACATTGGAAATAAGAATTAATCTTCCCTTGTTTTGTTTAGATGTATCTATGTGCTAGCATGTGATTAGCTTTATCTAGCAGTTGTAAGTTACACTTCTTACTCTCTTGTTAACAGCTAGCAAAAAATAATACTTGATAACCATAGACATAACCAACAGAACATGTTCCAGTATTAAAGGGTAATAAAAAAAATCACCGATGAAACCACTTTTCTTCATTCTGAATCAAAAATTAAGAGTAAACATTAATACTAAATGCGGGGAAAGGGGGGTAGTGGAAGGAATTCATGATGGAAGCAGTGACGGAATGTTTACTAAAGCAGTGCTATACATTGCAGTGCTATTCTGAATAAAGAAAGGCTTATTGAAATCAACACATTTTCAGGAGTAAGCACATCCAGCGCTGTTACTGGGACAGGCCTTCATAGTAGAGTAGTGTCAACATGTCACAGGCATTTCAACGTCTCTACTCCCTCTCATTTTGGAGTCCTTCTGCCAGTACCTGTTAATAACTGTAGAGCCAAACATAATTCTAGGCATAAGATGACTTCAGGGGAGTTTGAGTTAGTATGAATTTGATTTAAGCTTGGAAAGTGATAAATTTCCACTGTGACTGGAAACACTTTAAAAATTAAACTCTTCTGCACCTTGTAGCAAGAAAATGAAGTTAAACTTTTATTAGGAATCTAAGCAGTAATTAGTGTTTCCTTGTTGCCTTACGAAGTTCAAAGTGATGCCACTTTTCCAACCCAGTGTTCCTTTAATATCAAATTGTGAACTCCAGTACTGTGCAATTAGGTCAACTGAGTGTTCTTTCAGCACATCCCCACCTCATTCAGAGCCACAAGTTTGCCTCTTTGCCTGTAAGTGCAAGTAGCTTTTTAAGCCCATTTGGAGAAGTTGACAGCCTTGTGAATAACAACTATTTTTTGGTTTTGTGGCAGAGTCCCTACTTTTGCTGTGCTGTATACGTGCTTTGGCAATAGTGCTCAAAAACTGGAGGAACTGATACTGAATTCTTTATCTTGCATGCAACATTTCTAATTCTACTTCTTTGCCTCAATTAAGTAGATACATAAAACAGTTTGGGTTGGAAGGGACTTTTAAAAGCCATCTAGTCCAACCCTCCTGGGATGAGCAGGGACATCTTCAAATAGATCAGGTTGCTCAGAGCCTTGTCCAACATGACCTTGAATGTTTCCAGAGAGGGTGCATCTACCATCTCTCTGTACAACCTGTGCCAGCATTTCACCACCCTCAATGAAAAAAATATTCTTCCTTATCTAGTGTGAATCTACGCTCTTTTAGTTTAAAACCATTAAAAAGTCTGTCCCCATCTTTCTTTTAAGCCCCCTTCAAGTACTGAAAGGCCACAATTAAGGTCTCCCCAGAGCCTTCTCTTCTCCAGGCTGAACCATCCCACCTCTCTGGAGAGGTGTTCCAGCCCTCTGATCATTTTTGGGGCTCTCCGCTGGACTAAGTCCAACAGGTCCATGTCTTTCCTGTGCTGAGGGCGCCAGAGCTGGACGCAGTACTCCAGGCGGGGGTTCACCAGAGGGGAGTAGAGGGGGAGAATCACCTCCCTTGACCTGCTGGTCACGCTTCTGATGCAATCCAGGGTAAGGTTGGCCGCCTGGGCTGTGCGCACACATTGCCAGCTCATGTCCAGCTTTTCATCCACCAGTACCCCCCAAGTCCTTCTTGGCAGGGCTGCTCTCAGCCCCTTCATCTCCCAGCCTGGATTGATACCAGGGGTTGCCCTGACCCAGGTGCAGGACCTTGTGCTTGGCCTTGTTGAACCTCATGAGGTTCACATGTGCTCGCTTCTCAAGCTTGTCCAGGTCCCTCTCCATGGCATCCTGTCCCTCGGGCGTGTCAACCACACCACTCAGCTGTATAGTAAAGCTGTTTTTTCACATCCTTGCTTCTGTAATGTCCTTACAGTATCTCAATAGCTACAGAATTTTTACTTGGAAAGGACATGTATATTTATATAATTATCTGTAACACAACTACTGTTTTTTTTTTTTTAAGAGCTGTTCATGCAGCTGTTTTAATCCGAACTCCTTACCAATTATTTCTCTCTCTGCAATAACTCATGTACAAATTATACCTTCCAGTTCTCCAGCTCTCTGATCTCCCATTTGTATCATTCCTTCTCCTAGGTACCATTCCCTTACACGTTATGCTTTTGTCACCTAGGTGCTGCTTGCCAAAGCCCATAGTATTTATCCCTCCATTGATAACCTGTGGGCAGGCGTAGCTCTTCTCCTGATGAGATTGAGTAGCTCTGAAGCTATTGGGTTTGGAACCTACAGATACCTCCTTGTTTCTTCTTTCTATCATCATCCACATCCCGAAGGTTAAGAAGCTGTACAATGTCTAGTAAATAATATAAGCAGCTGTACAGTGTCTAGTAAATGTGATGTATAACTTTCTGGCCAAAATTAACATAAAGAAATGACAGCACTGCCTGTTTGTGACAGGAATTTTTATTGTATGTGTTTGTTAATTGAGAAAGAGGAACATATTAGCTCATTTCAACATGATCAGCATCTTGCTCCTGCTTAGGATAAGCTAGCAAATCCAGTGCTCCCAATACTAATTTAATGGTTTTATTTTTCTTAAACTAACACCTCAAAACAGAATAAATGCATATTCTTCTTTTCATGTTTTAATAGCCCAACTACTTTGCTTTGTTATTTATCAATGTCATCAAATGTATCCCCCAAAGGAGCGAGGCTCTGGGAATTCATAGCCATGAGAAAAAAAAAAATGCACAAAACCAACAAAACTTTTTTTATATAATTTAACAGTCTAATAAAACAAGACCTAGCAATATATTAAGAAATAAATCCAGTTACAAATGCATGTATATAGAAGGAACTTCTGTGGATGTCAGAACAGAAAATGATCAGCTATTTACAAGATACACAGCAGGATGATATAGTAGCCAAGACCCACCATTCAGAACCCAAATGTGTTCTCTCCACTGTAGGCAACATACAAGAATCCATCCTCATCCTTTTCCTTCTCATAAAGTTGTCCCATAGTTAAGCTTGAAAGGGAGAAAAGAGAAGCGGTTACAGTTGCAAACAGTAACAGTTAGAACCTCACATAAACAAGGATTAATAAAAGCCAACACTTGTAAGTCTCTGTGGAAATTAAAATACAAACATGAGGATCTATGAAAAGCAGTTGACTCCTGAATTTGCAGAGAGCCCAGGATCATTTTGCTGAGTGTCTAAGTTTTTGTTACTTCTTCACAAATGCGTTTATCAGAATGCTTCCTTATTTTATTGGATATTAGTCACTGGATGTATTTCAGGTTCTGAATCATCCATTATTGATGCCTGATGGCACCTTCCTTGAACGCAGCTGCATTAACATCTTGTTGTGTGAGCAACCTCATTTCTCTCTCCACCTGGTGTAGTTGTGAATGTTCAGCTGGTCTCAAGTCTACCAAATGTGTGCTTTTTGGACTGTTTCTTTGAGGTCCAGGTTGTTTTGGGGAGTAAAAGCTTTGTTTTCTATATTGTTAAAAAGTGATGAAGTAGTGCTAGTACCAAAATGCGTGGGCAATAAATTACAAGTTAGCCAGAAAGTAGTGCTTTTTCAGTGGATAAGGTTTTGAATGTTTGATCTAATGAAAATTTTCTTAAATGGAATAGGCACGTGGCCCTTCACAGTCTAACCAATTGCAGTCTTTAGGGCAATGTCTGTATTTTGAAAACAAGAAGAAACACAAACAATTACTTGGCCAGTACAACTGCTCTGACCATACAGATGAAACAGGCAGTTGACATCAGTCAGCTGCACAAATGATGGCACCTCAGCTCACCTTCCTCTGACTTCCCAGGACTGAGAAAAGGCTGGTGAACTGAAAGGTGCAGACTGAACGGGAGCGACAGGGAAAACAATAGCGGCTTTTTACCCAAGAAAGGAGCTGGGAAGAGTTGCAGGCAGTACTTGAAATAGAAACGAACTGCTGACTAGCAGATAAACTTCTGAATGAGGAGGGAAGGATGTCAAGAGTTTGCGATCTATGTAATAAAGTCAGCCTACAAGAGCAGCGGAGACGTTAACAGATTAGATTTTTGGTTATCTGTTAACAAGTTACCATTTTTGCATCAATATTGAAGGTTCAAGGCCTTATTTTTCCAGCAGAGGTGACATCTCATTGTAAACACGAGATGAGACAATGTGCCCTTTCTTTTTCTTTCCCGTTCCCAGCAGTTCTACAGCACTGTTAAGAAGATGACATATAGGCACTCCTAATACTCTTAGAAGAAAGCAAGCAGAAAAAGATGGTTCTCACAGGTCCCTATTTTGTATCACAAAGTAAATAAAAATATTCCTGAGTCTGGACAGGTTGCCTGGAGGGACTGTTACTGTTACACAGGTAAGGACTACAGTACTATTACACATGATGTACTATTTCCTCAAATACTATTGAAGTATCTCGTATAGAAAGCAGTTATAGTAGCTGTTTCTGCTATACATTATTCTGTATGTAGCAGACAACAATGAAACCTTTCTATAGTCATTTTGCATTTTATGTTTATAGAAAAAAATACGTAATTTTTAAAACAAGTAACAGCAACTAGTCTGTAATTTCTTTGTGAGCTGACAGGTTAGTATTTTTTCAGAATAATTTCTGGCATTTGCTTTTGAGTATTTAACATGCAACTTTTTTGTTACATTGAGACTGATTTTTTTTTTGGCATTGATGATGTAAATATTCTTGCACTCAACCAAAGATATCGTAATAACTCCAGAGCTCACCCTCTTGCCGTGGAAGTAAATCATCATATATTTTTCAGCCAGGTTTCCTTTCAGCCTAGCTCAAGAAATAAGATGTTTATCAAACTCATGATTAAGATGTAAACAAACGTCTAAAAATCACCAAATAAGCTTCAAAGAGGGGAGTTACTGTCCCTGATACGCACAGGCTTGCTGAAATGGTTCTGAATACTAAGTGAATAGCCTCTTACCTGGATTGTGGGACAGTCTTGTCTACAAAGAGGAATATTGCTTTCTCAGATGGCAGTTGAATCCTCTTCCTGATGATCCACATGAACTGGGCCACGGTGATGTCAGATGGAACTAAGTACTTCCTCTTGTCAATATCGACAATCTGAGATCCTGAGACTTTCTCCACTATGACCTGTAAAGGGCAGGGGTGAAGGTCAGGCTTTTCAGGATTGGTATGAACAGACAGCTCGGTAAATTGGTTGCTGGTACAGGTTACAACAGTGAGCAGAGGGGAGGAACAAAATGCTTTTCTTGACCGCACCCAAATAAGAGGTAGGACTGGCTCAGCACTGAAAAACCTGATTTTACAACTGCACCAAAACCTACATTTATATACACAATGGCTCAAAAATTCTATGCCTGAGGTTCACAGTCATGGGGTAAAAAGATGCAACATGCCCCAAAGAAACCTGTGACGGGAAAGTATGTGCTTGTTTTAACTCTTTGTACACTGATGATATGAAATTACTGCACTGTGGACAGTGCTATTCATGTGTTATTCATACTAGGACAATTATGTCCTGTTGTGCTTAAATATGGCTAATTTTCAAAATGTTCTGAAGTTCCCCATGTGTACTATCCAAAAATGGTGTATTCTGCAAAAAAAGCTTGGGGAGCAGGGGCAAGAGAGGAACTGGCATCTACTGAGATGTTCTAAGCACAGGCAGCTTGAAAACTTAAGGTTTAGGAGTGGCTTGTCTGCACTACTGCCCTTAAACTAACTGGTGATTGAAGGAAGGAGTCCAGAACTTCTGTCTTCTCACTTACCCCAGTTGACAGTAATAAATGGAGGAATCCATTTAACCATATTCCTTCCTTGCCCCATTCATCGGTACTGGAGTCATGAAAAATTCAACTAGACTGCAGCGCTGGTACCTGAGCAATGGCAGGTGATCTGAGGAAATGCATTCCCTTTGTACATATGCTGCTTATTTTGGCTTTGTCGCTATCACAACATAAAAAAAAGAGTAGAACAGAATATTTCAGTTGCAAGGGACCTACAACGACCATCTAGTCCAACTGCCTGACCACGTCAGGGCTGGCCAAAAATTAAAGTGTGTTACTACGGGCATTTTCCAAATGCCTCTTAAACACTGACAGGCTTGGGGCATCAACCACCTCTCCAGGCAGCCTGTTCCAGTGCCTGACCACCCTCGTGGTACAGAAATGCCTCCTAATGTCACGTCTGACCTTCCCCTGACACGGCTTTGCACCACTTCCCAGGTGTCCTGTCACTGGGTACCAGGCAGAAGAGCTCAGCACCTCCCTGTCCATGTCCTCCTCAGGAAGCTGTAGAGGGCAATGAGGTCGCCCATCAGCCTCCTTTTCTCCAAACTAGACAAACCCAGAGTCCTTAGCTGCTCCTCACAGGACATGCAAGTGCGACCATCATTGCTTGAAATCTTGTGTTACGCAGAATTCCAGTTTGCAACAAGCATGCCTTATCCTCTTTTGAATTGTTGTATGACTAAATAAAATCACACAATATGAAGAAACACTGGTTTAATACACACACCGCCTCCGCCCTTCCAACTTAAACTGTCTTCTTTAAACAATGTCCCAAGTTGCTCCTAACAGATGGCAGAACCAGGTGCCTTGATACAGTGTATAGCAAAAGAAAAGAAAAGGAAGAAACATTAGAAATAGATTTCAGTTAACACTGAAGCTAAAAACATCAATTTTTAGGTAACTGGGAGGGAGAACCACCAACCAAGTCTAGTATCTAATCTGCCATTTCACCTGTTGTGCACAAGCCAGAGATGCCAAAATGGCTCTCAGGCTTCTATCTAGAGCATTAGAGTATTCATTGATTTTTTTTTTTGTCTCCCTGAAGTTTTATGTATTCATCCGTGCAGCATCCTGTACCATTACGCAACACGTACCAGTATGTCAGAAGCTGTTACGCTAAGTAGAGAAAGGCACAAGCATACTTCAGGTAGCTCAGTGCAGAGTTGAAGAAGCCACGTTACATCGGAATACCATCAAAACTCTGGCAGAGTTGCAGTGCCAACTGTGCTACAATGCAAGGTTCTAGTCCGCCATAGACTGATTACATGTTCATTTTTTTACAGTGCTTTACAGTACTGCTTTTAATTTGGCATCCATTCTCGCTGCATTTCTATAATTAATCTGGCAATGGTTATTGACTTCCACAGCCAGCTACCAAGCCTTTCAGCCAGGCTCAACAATGCCTCAAGGAAGAGAAATGAAGCATGGCTGCAGCACACACTGCAATACCAGTTGGCCTGTCAAGGATGCCAGTTAAGCACTCCATCAAATCACCAGAAAGGTGCTGCGATGTAATCTTGTCTGTGTGCCTCTGCTGTACCAGACTTATACTGCTGGATAATCCAGCAGTGTATACACCTGATGTTGAAAACTGTATGATTACAGCTTCAGCTGACTGGATGAAGTTACAGGATGACAGTGAAGCCATACTAATAAAGTGTAGGTTTTAGCTATATATGATGGGACATGTAGGCCATAAGGAAAAAAATAAAATAACTAATACTAATAATGATTAAAAAATCACAACTCGTGCTTATGCTGCTAGGCCACCATAGGAACGTGGCTACTCTCTGCCTATATTGGGAGCATTTGGTAACCAAAACCAGGTAGGAACCCAAGCAGAGATGCCAAGGTAAGATGATGTTTGCAGCACCAACAGGCTTTTGTTTGCAACTTTGAAAAAAAGAGTACCTATGTCAATCACTATTTTAGGATGCCTGTAGACTCAGGTCTGCAATAACATACTGGTTTTAGCACTGGAAAACAGATTTTTTTTTTTTGTTGTTAATGTGTTATTCTGAATATAACTGCACTCTAAGGTATATTGTTTGTTCCACTGTGTTATTGTTGTCAAGGTACAACTCACTGATGCTATTCTCTGCTCTGTATTATGCTGAACTGGCATTAGAGCATCTGTCTTCGTACATTAGGAAATTAGAAATTGACTACAGGAATGAAAGATGGCCACAAACAAAACCAAACAAAAGGCAACAGGTACATGAGGAAGGAGAATTAAGTATTACTTGTGGAAAGGACCTAACAGTTATTGCTCCTCACAGGCTAGTTCCTGAAGGAAAAAGGCAGCACGTGGGGAAATAAGGCTTACAAGAGGTTCCAGTGTCTCCATTCCTTAGCTGGGTGTTCTCCATTGCTACAGCATACGCATACAGGTAATGCTCAAGTAAATTTACAAAATATGCTATCTTACAATCTGGAGAAGGTTTTCCTTATAGTTTCTTCAGCTCTGCCTACAGAAACAGCAGGAGGGCATAGCAGCTGCAATTTAGTATGCGGGAACTGTAAAGAGGACCAAGAACAGCCTGAAGGGAATATTGAAGCCTTAACAACTGATAGTTTTGGGGTTTTTTTTAAGATTACAATAACATACTAGGCATTTTAGCTTCATAATGCAGAAACTGTCATAACTGGAAGTCAAGGCTGTTCATGAATTGCTTCTAGTAAAACTTATAGATACCTTTAACCCTTAGACCACTTGATTCCCCGGGCAAATTTAAAATTGCAGAGCTTAGCAAGCATGAATTTCTTTCACCTCCCATGTTATTCCTAAAAGGTCTAGCCTAGGACAGAGGCAGGATGTTCATATATTGTCTTAATAGGTTTGAACCACTGAAACGTCTCTAAATCCAGGTTGACAGATACCAGCAGCTGAGAATTGAAGTCACTTTGACCTGTGTCACTGGATGCAGGCTATAACCTGGAAAGCAGGAAGCATACATTAAGTCTGAAAAACACCGTTGACTATTAAATGTCAAAAATATATTTGATGCCAACGATTTTGTGGAAGGTACATGGCTCAATCTGAATCATCAAGCAGAAAACATGTATCAGCCCAGACAAAGCATCTCACTGCAATTTGAGATTTAATTCCTGTATCCACCAACCCCTTGCTGTCCATTCCTGATACAGCATCGTGTAATTCTGACTCACACTGTGAGTTTCACTTTCTTTTTCCCCTAGGGTTATGAGAGATATTCTTGCAACAGACAAATGGGTATCTCTGGAGGTGTACGGTCACTGGCATGTTACAGTCTATATGCGAGGGGGTAGTTAGCCAAGCAGAGAATGGCAAAGATTGGATCCGCTTGCCAGACTGCAGCTGGAGAGGATGCTGTGACTAGGTGCAACTCAGCAGCAGAGAAAGTCAGTGGGATTAGAGGTTCTTCCCTGGGCTGTGCTGTCTAATAGGTAAGTCATTTACCAAGAGGTCAGACAGGAGTGGCACTAACTGGCGTGTGGTCAGATGGGACATGGGAAATTTTACTCACAAGCAGGTAAGTTGAGAATGTGGACATGTTGCTAGCTGTTACATAAGGATGTGAAGTGTGGTCGTTCCACTGACTGAAACATGATAAAAGCGATTGCGGAGTGAAGAGAAGTCATTCACTATTTAGCAGACAGGTAGGTATTAATGCAGAAAGAAGGGGTCGCCACTTGCACTGCCTCTTCAAGCAACAGGGTTTGCATGGGGAGATTCACCATGGTAAGACTGGTTACAGGCATGGAATATATGATGGAAAATCACCTTCCTCATATAGCCAGGATGGAAGATTGTCAAGGTTTAAAGAATTTATGATCTTTCTTGGGATCAGGCACAGAATGAATCCTCAAGACACTGAAGATATCTGCTGGGATATAATTGCCATTAGAAGAAACCAGGACACTGAGAAACCATAAACATGCCTGGAAAGTGTTTAGAAAGCCAGGCCCTCTTGCTTACTTGTCAATATGCACTGGGGCAGAGGAGGGAATGTTACATTAGTTAGACGTGTTTGGGACCTCTTTAGAACATCTAAGGGCACAAAAAGGAAGGTGAATTTACTTAGTAGGATCTGATCAAAGAAGAGAGGGCAGGATGGAAACCGCTTATCCACCTTTGCCTCTAAGCACTCAGAGGAAGCTGGCGTGGTTACTCACCGGGACACGGTCAGGGTATTTGGCTCGGATTTTTGCCGACTCGACACATCTGTGCTCTGCGAACAAAACTCGTAATTAGTCACTGCATAGTAACAGTACCGCCAGTGTCCTCGGCGGAGAGGGCAGCGCCCGCAGGGACGGGAGCCTGCGGGGATCGCGACCGTCTTGCCCCCGCCCCGAGGTGGATCTCCAGCTGTCCAGAGAGGCCGTCCACGGGCAGCGCGCCACCCTTGGCCAAGGGCCGCATGCGGGTGGCCGCCCATGTAC